CTTCGAACTTGACCTGCCTGCAGACAAAAGACTCTATGCAAAATTTTGGCGATCTATATCCATTCTTTTAGACGCTAGAGTGATTACAACAGACAGACGGACATGGCTACATAGAATTTTACGCTGATCAAGAATATATATATATATATATATATGTATATACTTTATAGGGTCGGAATGATTACTTCGACGTATTACAAACGGAAAAACAAAATTAATATAACCTCCATACTATGGAGGAGGGTATAAAAACGGGAAAATTTGAAACATAAATTATAAAAAATTACTGAAAAATAAAAAATGCTAAAAAAAGTGCTAGGTGCTAGATCAATTTTTTTGGTGCTAAACGAGTTTAAAAAGTGCTAAATCTAGCACTAAAAGTGCTAAATTGGCAACACTGAATATGTTGCTCATATTTGCACATATTTTGCCTATATTTTTCATATTTTTTGCATATTTCTCGCATATCGACCTAGCATACCGTGCATATTTTTTTGTATATTTTGCATATTTTTGCATATTTTGCATATGTTTGCATATATTTTGCATATATTTTGCATATGTTTGCATATATTTTGCATATATTTTGCATATTTTTGCATATTTTGCATATATTTTGCATATTTTTGCATAGTTTGCATATATTTTGCATATTTTGAATATGTTTGCATATTTTGCATATGTTTGCATATTTTGCATATTTTTGCATATTTTGAATATGTTTGCATATTTTGCATATTTTGCCTATTTTTGCATATGTTGCATATTTTGCATATTTTTGCATATTTTGCATATATTTTGCATATTTTTGCATATTTTGCATATGTTTGCATATTTTGCATATATTTTCCATATTTTGCATATGTTTGTATATATTTTCCATATTTTATGCATATATTTTGCATATTTATTGCATATCGACCTAGCATATTTTGCATATATTTTGCCTATTTTTGCATATGTTGCATATTTTGCATATTTTTGCATATTTTGCATATATTTTGCATATTTTTGCATATTTTGCATATGTTTGCATATTTTGCATATATTTTGCATGTATTTTCCATATTTTGCATATGTTTGCATATATTTTGCATATTTTATGCATAGATTTTGCATATTTATTGCATATCGACCTAGCATATTTTGCATATTTTGCATATATTTTGCATATTTTGCATATTTTGCATATTTTTTGCATATTTTGCATATTTTTTGCATATCTCGTGCATATGCAAAATATGCAAATATGCAAAAAATTAAAAAATATGAACCCTTCAAATAATTCTAAATCCTTTGAAACGAATTTGTGTCCAATCAGAATTTCGATATCTTCTTTATTAAAAAATATGCAAATATGCAAAATCCGAGGTCTAGTCATGAATGACAATTCCATAAATTTCCTCAACGTTTCGATAACGAAGTTGTCACGCAAGAGAGTATTTTCTACTGGGATTTTAAATATATGTAAAAATATAAATATAAATATATAAATATAATATATATATATATATAAATATATATTTATATATAAATATATATTAAATATATGCGATGTCATGTGCATTCTGTGAATATATTATTATAGAATTTTGTCCATTTTTGATATATAGTATTGGTATTTAATTAAATGGAATAGTTACATAACCCATAAGTTATTTTAATTAAGGTGTTTCGGGCTATATATATGTAAGGTCCGTTTTTTAATTCTTTCAATTAAAATAGGGGTTTCGTATGGAGTGCAGACGAGTTCAGCGTTGATTTTTTTTGTTTTTTTGTGTGTCTTTCTAGAACATTGTACTAAATTTTTTCCTGGAAGAAATGCACATTATTGTTGACACACCTAAGTCAGTATCCGGAACAACAAACGATGGCAATACTGCTAGGCATTTTTTTAGACAACCTGGCTTGGCATCGTCGATAACTGGTGTTGATGAAAAATTAATTAAAAATTTTAGTATCATCCTTTCAACCATGGCTTGTGGATATGCTATTAACGCAGAGCCATTTAGAAAACATTTATTCTTCAAGCATACACAAAATATTAGTGCATGGAGCTGATATAATTAAATGTGCAGCTTTGCCCATAGGAATGTTGTCTGAAGAAGCCATCGAATCCAGAAATAAGGACTTTCGGAACTACAGGGAACTGGGCACCAGAAAAATGAGTCGTGGGGAAACAATGAGGGATCTTTACAATAGGTTGCTATTTTCTTCTGATCCAAAAATATCAAGTTTGTCTCGTAGTACATCTCTTAACCATCGATATAGTGAGCCACTATCTGATGAAGTCCTAGAGGATTCAAGGCTACCAACTAATTCAGACCAAAAATCGGATTCTGCCTAATTTTACAAAATATATATTTAATGTTTTAGATATATAATATTAACAATAATAAAGATACATATAATAACAATAGTGTTTGTCCTTAACCCACTTTTTACCCTCCAAATGTTTGGGAATTTTTAAAAGAAGCTCGCATTTTAGGAGTACTATTAGTTATAACGAAAAATTTTTCTTATTAAAAAATGTTTAAAAAGGTTCAAAATAGCAATTTTCACATAAAAATTTAAGTTTTTTCTAAAAAAAATCGGCGCTTAGTGGGTTAATAAAAAAATTGCCAAATTTTTTCATAAAATAATTAAAATTGTCCATCTAAATCTATTCTTATCCAAAATATCGATAAACATACAGTAAAATATCCACTTTTATTTTCTGCCCGCTAGATCTGCATTTTTTCCCACTTTGCATCGCTTGCATAAGTATGGTAGAGACTATTCAAGTTGGTAACCCAAAGAAGTGGTGAATAAATCCCTTACGGCAGTGTCGCTTGCCCTTCTCTGTCGTGGACTACATTTTATCTACCTATTCGATATCGAGCATAAAACTGGATTCCAAAAGAAGCTCAATGTTTGGATGCCACGCCAATTAACAGCCAAAAATAGGATGGATCGAATTTCCATCTGCGAAGCCTTGAACAAACGGAATGAGATAGATCAATTTTTTAAACGGGTGGTAACTGGAGATGAGAAATGGATCACATTTGATAACCCTGTACGAAAATGATCGTGGTCAAATAGCGACGGAGCACCTCAAAGGGTGGCCAAACCAGGACTAACGGCCAGGAAGGTTCTGCTATGCATTTGGTGGGACTGGAAGGGGATAATTTATTATGAGTTGGTTCCATATGGCCAAACGCTAAATTCTGATCCCTACTGCCAACAACTGAACCATTTGATTATAGCAAGACTGTTGGCCAGAATTGACCAACAGGATGTCGCTAGGCCACACACGTCTACAGTGATTCGCCAGAAATTTCGGGAGCTTGGCATCCTCCAGAAAGAAAACGGTGCATAATTAAAAAAAGCCCTATAGTTCATATAAAAATAATGGATTTATTTTTCCCCAAAATAATATTTTAGTGATTTTCGTCTCATGCTATTGTTCGAACAATCATTATGTATCATACCTTCTCACCAATACTAGCCCACATGCAACACTTGAAGATTCTACCTTTCGTCTGGGCTGAGTTAGTCACTAAATTATTATATTTAGATGGCATTCTATTTTCCAGTACGATTAAATTTTTTTCTTTTATCTGACGTAGTGTTTAATTTCGTCCATTCTCCTGACTTTACGTCTTTCTATCAGAGCTCCGAAATACTCGCTCGAAATCGAGTAAAGAGTGAAACTTGTTCGAATTCGAGCGGGAGTACTCCTGCGAGTAGAGAAAATAAATCGAGTATACTCTATTTTTCTCTGCCACTAAAATAAGAGCGCAAGTGCTTCGCTCGTTTTAGAGTGGGGTGAAATACGCTCGAAATCGAGCAGATTCCACTCTTTCCGAGTACTCCTTTTTTAATATATTTTTTTAAATACAAAAATGAAACTTAATAAAAACATTTTGATTTTAAAGCTGAATAATGAACTGCGTAGGCATTGATGGACTTTCTTGCAAAAGAGATTTTTATTTGAACCTTACATGTGTGAACATTTTTTTAAATGCATTCAAAAAACAAAATAACCAATGTATTTTTTATACATGATCGATCAACAACAAAAACTGTTTGCTACCACACACGCAAATCGCAAAAAAAATATTTGTCCACTCAATTTTACTCTTAGAGTGAACTTTTACTCTATTTCGAGCATTTAGACTCTCACCCTTTTTCATTACCAAGGAGTACTCGGGAGCACACCCAAACAAAATAAAAGAGTGACGAGTTATTCCTCAAAAAAACTCGTAGTCTTTACGTACTCCCACTCAGGAGTATTTTTCACTCGCGAGTAAAATCGAGCAAATCGGAGCTCTGCTTTCTATACATATCCAAAATCAAATAATATATTTCATGTATTTAACAAGGTTGCATCAAGCCTTGCTGCCACATAATGGGGTAATATGTATGATCAGCATTAGACTAAATCGACTTAATAAATTACAATTTCTGTTTTTATGTCATTGAATTGAAAAATAATCTATGAATAATTTATATGCCAAACATGCGTTGCATTCGGTGTTGTTTGCGGACTAAAGAAAACTCGTTAAGTTGATAGTTGAGTTGTTGCATTCAGCTACCTACTTACTCGTTCGTAGTGCATGATACCAAGCTGAAGCAGCAATTTTCACGGTCATTGTGATGATGGGTTTTTTACTGGTGCTGCAGTGGAAGTCACGCTTGTTCTTTCTAAAACCAGTGTTTTATTTCTATTGCTGGCGACCTTTCTGCTGCTGTTGGTTGCTGTTGCTACGACGATCATTGAAAAGTTTAGCGAACTTGGCGAGCAAACAAACACTTCTTTTCAAGGTCAATCGATACGCCCTTCAGCTGCTAAACAACATTTTTATTGACGATGAATTATTTAATAAAGATATTAATGTTTTTTTATTTTATATTTACAGTCACATTTGAATTTATTATTAAATGTAATTACTTTATTTTAACAAAATAAAATAAAGAAAATATAAGCAGATTTGTTTGTCAAGAAAATGCATTACAGCTCACAAATCACCAAAGTAATAACTCGCCGGAATATAGGCAAATATTTTTTTAAAACGATCCTCCAAAACCTTCTGAACGGTCGCAGTGAAGGATGGCCGAAAAGCGGTAAACAATTCCTTCCAGTTATCATTGAAAACGGCATTCGCCGAATCTTCTAGATCTTTTTGTCCATTGAAGAGATTTTCCCAATGACTTTGATAGAGGCCAACATCGGCGACCTCAACCCGTAGTTTATCCAAATCGGTGAATTTGAAACCATTTTCTTCGCGCAGTTTCAGTTTGCAAATTAGATTAAATTTAAGATTTTCTGAAAAAAATGAAGAACGTTAGTTTAAATTGTAAAAAAAATAAATAAAAATCCTCAGTTTCCATGAATTAAAAACCATTAAGTATTATACCTTACGCCACCTTGGTTATATAAAAGTAGAACTTTAGAAATGTAACTTTGAAAGTGTAGCTGGCAGCCAGGGTAGTCTTTATACCCGTGTTCGTTTTAGACCTTTTACACTTAAAGCACCTTTTAGACTTAACGCAATGAATGAATGAGTGAATCGACATTAGACACAATACACAAATATAGTCAGTAATTTTGAGTCATGCCGAATACCTGAAACAAGAGTTGTCAAATCATGGGAATCTCTGATAACAAACAGAGACTTGTGGGATAACGGAATAGTAGCAAAAATGACCTCTGGTAAATGTTGTATCACAAATGGCTCCCGACTAGCAGGGGATTGGATGTTTTTATTGAAGAGACGGGTCTGAAATAATACTACATCTGATCTGGTATAGTTCAAACGCAAGACAACATCCAACAAATATCTGGTCAGATAGTAATCAATGTACAAAACCCCACCTACTACGAAAAATAAACCTAAACCCCCCAAATGTTGACGTTGAACGGAACAGAGGCAGTTTCGGTTTTGGCGGATGCTCTAAAGAAGTACAAAGCCGACATTATTTTCTTACAGAAAATATGATGGAAAGGGACAGGCGTAAGCAAATAAGATTATTTATTACGCACTGTTCTATAGCTGTCATGAAACGAGACATGAATTTGGTTGCGGATTTATGGTTAACAGGAGAATAAAAGACATCGTCTCTAGATTCACTCCAATAGACGAGCGCTGCACTGGCCATGACATTGAAATTCTGCTAGGAGATTTTAATGTAAACATTGGAAGGGAAAATATTTTTGGCTCCACCAGCAGAAAATTCAGTCTCTATGAAGAAACGACAGCGACATTAGATTGATTGACTTCTCGGCAGAGAAAAAACATGGTAATTAGCAGCACCAGATCCAAGAATCTCGAAATAAAAAGGAGAGAAGAAACGTATTTTCAAAAAAAAAAAGGAGAAAGAACAAAAAAAAAAAAAAACGCGGTCGTGGGAAAATCGAGATGTACAGGAGTCAGATTGAAGTCCGAAAAGTGCCATCGGGTAAAATACGAAACCAAAGGATATGGTACAGGGATATCCTCCTGTAGAGATGAAGAAGGAAACCTAGTGACAGATACAGACAGCGTGTTGGGGATCTGGAAGGAGCATTTTGCAAAGTTTCAAACTTTGAACGAATTTAGAAGGAGTCTACCAAATTGGGACTGGCAGTAAATGGCGAGATCAAGCTGATGATATCAATGCGCAAGGCGTTCAGTAGACTCGGACCAACTGTGGAACTTGAAAACTACACATTTGAGGTAGTCAACGATTTTATATATCTCGGTACTGCCATAAATAAAGCAAATGAGAAAACTCTTGGAGTGTTTGAGAGAAAAATTATCCGAAAGATATATGTACCGATCGGCATCTAAGGCGAATATCGCCGTCGAATGAATCACTAGTTCTACCAGATGTATCGAGCAGCAGCGACTACGGTGTCAAGTTCATGTCGTGAGAATGAATGAGGATGTCCCAGCTCAAAAGGCATATAAAAGCGAGCTAACTGATTGTTTGCGAAGAAGGGTAGGGCAACGAATTCGATAATATATAGAAACAGGGTCTTTCAAATTGGAAGAGCTGGGAACAAGACCGATGCGCATGGTATTTTTAAGCTTGGCTTATGGAACAAATGTTCTGTCTCGAGCTATGCAAGTATCCTATTGCTTAAGAAAAAAGAAATCAGCAGATTTACAGGTCTTCTTAGAGGGCATCTCATGATGTAGGCACATAAACATAAGATTTGGTGCGAGGGAAGAGGTAGGTAAAGAGCGTGTGGGAAAGACAGCGAAACGCTAGAACGTTTCTATTTGCATCTGCCCAGTTTTTGCAAGACTTCGAACCCAATTTATGGGAAATTATACTATTCACTAAGAAAACAGAATTCTTTAATATTAGGGAGATAAAATCTCAAGATAATTTTTCAGACTGCCTTTTCTTTGTAGATCGCACAACAGGTATTTTACAGATTAAAGTGATTGTTCTACTATTGGACATGTGGTGGTGCAAAACACAACTTTATCTAGAAGAAGAAATTCAACAAGAATCCTCTTTTTATTGATCAATATTTGCTAACATATTAAAATATTCAAATTTTGTATCAGAGCGAATTCTCAGTTCCATATTTAAAATTTTTTGATTTAAAAAAATTATTATGAGAACTGCTATTGCATTGGGGAGCATATAATAATAAAAAAAACTCGTGTCCATGTATCACGTGAATAAGAGAATATGTTGTATTGGTACTTACTAAATTTATTTTCCGCCTTTCCACTTCCATCTAATGCCAGGGCCAAAATACGTCCTTTCATTTGATAATCGGATGTCATTATTAATTCTGGCACCGATAACGTCATTTTGGTCACCAACTTTGTTTGATCAAAGCTAGAAAGATATTGCAAATTAAAGTCGTTGCTAATTAAGAGAAAATTCAAAACTTCTTACTCAGCATCGTCGACAATTGTGTTACGAAGGCCACGTAATTCCACCTTCGTAAATCCAATATTGATGGAAATAATGCTGCTGGTATTTTCCGTTAATGAGATACGTTTGATGTGGAAAGGGTCAACGGGGCCGACTGACTTTAGACCGGGAACACCTGTTGGGAAATAATAATGAAATTAAGAAATAATTATTATCTGGGGTGTTATTTTGAATTCATCTTCATTTCTATTACCATCTTTAAATTCCACAAAAAATGCTTGAAAATTTTTAACTACACATTGTTTGAAATCTGAATTGGCAGATTTGCAAGGTGTAATAAAATCCGCTGTAAAATAAAAAAATATTATTCAAATAGCAATACAAATATTTGCAAATAATATTTGCATACGCTTCTCTTCGAGAAATTTACTAGCAGCGACTAAACCAATCAAAGTTGTTACAAAAATGTAACTGTGTTTTCTTCCATACATTTTGTTTACAGCACACAATTCTATTATTTTTATAAAGATACTGCGCTGTCTGAAATGTTGCACTATTCTGTTTCTAGAAAACGACTCAAATGAAAATTATGTTATTTGTATTTAATCTTAAATTAAACTCGTTAGAATGTTATTGGAGAAACTTGTTTCGCAACATTTGTGATTTCAATTCAGTTCCAGGTTCTTATCAATTAATTTATTATTTTTTATGCTTATTAAACCTTCATAAACAAATAATTAGTTTGCCGCTAGAATTTTATTAGGTTGTATCGACACTGCAGTAATAGTTATTGACTCCGATTAAAACAATATTTATACCCTACACAACTATGTTGTCAGGGTATTATAGCTTTGTGCAGCCCCAAAAGTTTGTAACGCCGCGAAATATTGGTCCTAGACCCACCTTTAAGTATACCGATCGTCATATCTCGACTAGCTGAGTCGATCTAGACATGTGTGTCCGCCCGTCCGTCCGTCCGTCTGTCCATTATAATTTGTAAACACGATACAGGCCACAGTTATGGACCAATCTTCACGAAATTTTGCATGTAGGATGGGTTCTGGCCAATGAAGACCCCTATTGTTTTTGGGAAAGATCGGTTAATATTTAGGGGATGAAATGGACCAAATACTAAATTTTTGTCGGTTTTTCTGGTCGCTCCAGAGGCCGCACCAATGCACAGTGGGCGAAAAGGCTCATCTAGCGGCGTTTAATTAATAGCGCTTAGGGATTTTGTATTTTATTTTTTGTAATATTTTTTTTTAGTTGAAAATAGATTAAGCTACAGAGTTAAACAAAAAAAATTGTTTTTAATGTATATATATATATTTTTTTTTTTTTGAAAGTTGCAATTTTTTTCATTTTTTAGACATTGTTTATTTCATTCAGGGAAGCATGATAAGGTTAGTATATTTAATGTTTCTCATTCTTTGGGGCTAAGAATATATTAAACTTTAATAATAAAAACATTTTTTAAAACATTTATTTATTAATTTTTTAATAATATTTTTGGCCTTATTAAGACTTCATACATTTCAGTTGTTTTCATAACAAAAATTTAATTATAACTCAAAAAAGGAAAAAATACAAATCGAAATAAAAAACTATTATTACTATTGTAATAATAGTTTCGTATTCCAATTTGGATACACAATGTTCTGAAAGTTGTAAAATATCATTATCGGCATCTTTCTTTTTTTGGTTGCGTAAATTTGAAATCAAGGGATCTGATTAACACAAAAGCGCATGCATTAAGTCTTTCATTGTATTTAATCGGGATGTCTTCCGCGTATGGTGCTCACGGAAATTGCGGTAATCTTCGCCGGGCTTCCATTTCCGACATTTTTCCTAATTGAAGTGGTGGTACTTTAATTATATCGGCTCCATGTATTAAGATTTTATGTAT